CAGACTCAGCTGAGAGTTACTTGCTGGGCAGAGGCTCCAGTTGGTTGGGGACAAGCAGATGTGCCAGGCAGCCTTCGGGGTCTCACTTGCCCTTTACCCTCACACCGCACTGCTGCTTTGTACAGAACTTTCATAGTGCCTACCTGACTTACTCCAAAAGCTCCAGTCTCTGCACTCCCCTGAAGCAAAAGGCCTTTGGTGATTTTGATGATAAGAAAGGTTTCCAGCTCATCTCTACAACAGAGGAACCTACCTGTCTGCCAGAGGCTCTTCCTGTGTTGGAAGCTGGAAGCTGGTGTGGTGAAAGCCACTACCTCCCGGCAAGACTGTCCTGCCTGTGGCAAGCAAGGATTGTGTTGGGCCGCAAGTTCCTTTCTTCCTGGCTTTTCCATTTCTAGCTTTTTCTCAGGTAATGAGAAACTTAAGGCCTCCTACATATCCTAATGTTTGATTTGATATACATAAATTATTTGCCCACATTGCCTGATCCCTCACAGGAAAAGGAATAACCTCTTCCTTCCTCTCTCCCTTCAGTGCTCACAGTGCCGCCTGGCCTTTTCTATAGCTAGTGTTGTCTCATTTGTGTGTACATTTGAGTTTTGAGCAAGCTGTTTCCTCTCAGTCATCTAGAGTTGTCTCCAGACATCTCTTGGACTTCATCATACCTCATATGTCCCGGGCAGTCCTCACTGGGTACATGACGTGCTGTCCTGATCTCAGGATAGGAAGGAAGGGGCCTCGTGGTGCACACTCAGGACTCCTCCTGAGGAAACGTCCTCCTGTGCTCTTGTTCTGCTTGAGGCTTGGGTCTTACTAGTTCTGGGTCCAGTCTTTCTGCACATGGCCTTCTGACCGTATTGAAGCCACGTAGCATAAAACAGATGAATCTCTTTCCTTTTCCTCCCTCCCCCCAACTTTAATGTTTCAGTGCAAAACTAGTATTTTTCTCACAAGCTTTATTGTATCACTAACAAATAATATATCCTTGTTTGGAAAACTGAAAACTTTGTTTTATTTTTGAATTTTTTTGGTTGGAAATGATTGTCATTGTAGAAATTGACAGCATACAGTATTCCAAAGCCTCTCATGGCTTCGTTTTGGTTTTGGGGATTTTTTATTTGTAGGGGAACTTGCAAAGCAAAATCACTGTCATCAGCAGCATGTCTTAGGACTGAGCTAACAGCCAGAGATTTTGCTAAGTGCCTTGTAAATTAAATTAGACAATAGTTCCAGATGTGTGGTTGCTTAAAATCTATTAGGCCACACCAACATGGGCAGATAAAGGCATGTAGACAACTCAGACCACGTGTAGGAAAGCGCAGACAGTCTGGAGCCGCGTGACATCCACCTTCCTCTTACTTGAATGATCTCATTGACAATGGTAGTACTGGGCTGGGGTGTTAGGAATGAAGAGCTGGTACTTAGGAGGCTACTTTTCCCAGCTCAGCAATCACGAAAAAAGATGCAGAGTGATAGGTGGACCTTAACTGATCAGATGAGTGTGACATTCAGAGCTCTACCTGAGACTCATCAGGCTTTCCAGGAAGAGGAAACAGGGAAGTCAAGTCCTTACAAAGCTTTGACAAGGATGAGAATATGGGGCAGGATGCACAGCACACCCTGAGAGCAGTGAGGGCAGTTTAATTTTTGAAAGAAGTAGAAAAAGATGTATGCAGGCATTATGACTGAAGAACAGAGCAGATACTAGTTCTTCCCCAGCCAACACAGAACAGAAGCCTTAGGCTGTGAATTCAAGGAGGAAAAGCGCTGCCCCAGCCTGGCCTTGGGGGTGGGGTGCTAATATTTCTGCTGATGGGATGCATCGGAATGTTCACTCGCAGTGGTTCTTGGCTGAAGATGAGCCCAGATGAAGGCATTCTGTAATTAAAGAAAAACTTAAAAAGGCAAACAAATAAGGCAAGCAGAGATTGGCATCTTACTGTAAAATGCAAAATCTGGGAAATGCAGTTAAAGGTAAACACTAATGAATATAGGAAGAAACACAGGTTTTCTGGGTGTGGTGGTTTGAGACTGTGGAAGGGCCAGCCAGGGCTACATAGTGAGTTCAAGGCTTGCATACATAGTGAGACCCTGTCTCAGAATACTAAATGAATAAATAAAAAGCTTGTGCAAAGAATAATACCAGTCTAAAAAGTTAGTAATATGTATTTAATTTGATCATTGATGGCGAACCTCCGGCATGTGTGTTGTTTTTAAGACAAAAGATGTTCATAGAGCCAGCCAGATAGCTCAGCACATTAAAGTGCCTGCTTAGGCAGACGTGGGGCCTGGGTTTGAGCCTCAGCCTGCCTTGCCAGCCCCACCCCAAGGGCACAATGAGATGGCCATTGATACTGGGTGTGGTGGCCCACACCTGTAACCCTAGTGCTTGGGGGGCTGAAAAACAGAAAGGATTGCTGCAAGTCCAATTTGTGTAATGAGACCCTGTAGAACCTGTACTAAATACATAAAAAATAAAAATAAAAAAATAAAGAAATGCCACCATCATTAACATTGACCAACCGTAACCCAAAAAAAAGTATGAGTATATATACAATAAACATTTGGGAAAAAAAAAGGTGCTCATGTGTGAGTTGATTTTTCTACACTTAAAGCCCAGCTTTCAGGTTGAAGTGCAGTTTTCACCCCTTGTGGTACGTAAGTGGGTTTTGGACTGCAGTTTGGGCTCTCATCTGTGAAAGGTTCACCCTCACCGGGTTATTGAATACCTATTTTGATTGTCTCCTGGCCTGCGTCTGTATATGGATAAGTAGCAAGGAGAACTTACAGTAGTCTTGAAGGCAAAAAGGGAAGAGGAAGATGAAATAAGAAACTAAAGGATAGCATTGTTGACTGCCCACAAAGCTGCCCAAATCACAACTTTGTAGAAAGCGAATCCTAAGAGAACAATTGGATGTTGCCTATGGATTTGACATCATACTGTATTGTTCATCATTTTAAAAAATGGGAGAGGTGAGAAAAACTCTTTAGAATCCTGGTGGTCCTCTGAGTAAGCCATACACATGGCCCTCAATTTACAACCAGTGGATAGGTTAACTGTCCCAACATCGGTTTGCACAGCTATAAAATGAGGAGCTTAGAGGTGATGGTCTGTATGGTCCTAAGCAGGGCTGGGCCTGGCTAGTACTTAGATGGGTCTTAATTCGGATTACACTTTTAACAGATTGGGGTAGACAAGATACAGATGCATGGGCTGAAAGGCCATTCATAAGCTAGCCCGGCCCTGTTTAAGTACCTGTAGGTGGGGTGAACTGGGGAGTAGCCACCATGACAGATTCTCGATTTCCAGCATTTGTCCTGTTTGCAGGATGAGCCGATGCAGGATTCAGTTTAATAGGCTCAAATAAAAAGCCGGACTTGTGTTACTTGTGTAAGACAGTTAATTAAGTTGCAGTAGACCTGGGTTAAAACTGCTATTAAAGAAAAAGACTAATGGTGTTTTAACTTGAAATTTCAGGTAGAGTCAGGAGGGCAATGGGAATGTCAGAAATGCCAAAGCTATGGTATAACAGACGTGTGGAGTTAAGCAGCTTTGACAGACGGAAGCCATTGTGGGGCGGAAATTCCCGAGATCCAGCTTACTAGGCCTCCGTAAATGCCACTTCCACGTGGCCAGTTCTGTTGAATCTGTATGTAGCCTTTATTTTCTTTTGGGATTCTCTGTATTTGATGGAAATTTTAGGTATTAGAAATCTATGAAAGATCTGATATTAAATCATTAGGTGTTGAAAAGTGGTGATTTCCTTCCCGCTCAGCCTACCCAAAACACAATGCATGTGCTGTGGTTTCCATTGTAATAGTGTATCATATTTCTGGGAACTTATCAATCTCAGGGCCTCCATGAAGCACTATTTTGGCACCAGAAATTATTTGATGAAGAGTGTGCCCCAGGAGCTAACTGTTCTGTGCACAGTTCTTAAACACGTTAGAATTGCTGTATCTTAAGGCTTCAGAGCTGGCCTGTGTCAGTGCTTCATGAGCCCTGGACAGTGCATAAGGCTGTGAATAAATGGAGGCAATTCCGTGAACTCCCCGAAAAGGTACATAATTGTTTTTGGATGTGTAGTATTTTCTGGGAAAGAGTCCAGCGCTTTCATTAGATTCTCAAATAATACAAAAATTGGGCCCCGTCCTCGCTACCTAATTTGTTTACTTCCACACATAACAAGAAGACCGCTTTACTTTTGCCTTCGTCCTCTGCTGAGAGGAGCAAGCCGGTGTTCCCTGAAGAGGCCAGCGACGACGTGCCGCTGCCGGGACTGGAAAGCCGCCGGGGCAGAAGTCCCAAAGTGCAGTGCACATCTTCACATCAAAGTAAACGAGCGGGCCTTTTCGCCTCTTCCTCATACCATACATTAAAAGCAACCTTATTTTTTTCCCTTTTTTTATTTTGAAGATAATTAAAACAATAAAAGTGATACAGAATTTCAAAACAAGATGATAGGAAATTAACTATGGTTGTTATGTTGCATATTGTTATCTTCAGAGTAGCTGTTCAAATTACCAGTTATGGGCCTGCAAGATGGTTTTTTTTTTTTGTTGTTTTTTTTTTTTTTTTTCAGTACTGGCGATTGAACTTGGCATCCTGTGCTTGCCAAGCAAGCGCTTATGCTGCTGAGCTATGGGCATGTAAGATTGATCAAACAATATGAACACTAACTGTTCCTTTCAACGAACAAATAGAAATTAGTAGCATAGTTACTTTAGTTATCTGTGTGTGTATGTGTGTGTATAGGGGTGTGTGTGTGTGTGTGTGTGTGTGTGTGTGTGTGTGTGTTTGTATCACTTTATTTTTAAAAAGAAGATTCAGACTTGATACTTGCAGAATTTGGATTATTTTTGACTGATCCCCTTTCAACTTGTGGGTACAGATTTGATCTTTTCCAGGAATATTTTGTTCTGAGGTGAGTTCCAGAGAAGCCCGATCTTCTCAATGGGATACGTGTTTCATGTGGTTTTTCTTCTTTGCATGTGCACAGGGCGCCAAAGCGTGCTTTCTGCGAGACATTCCCTTCTCGGCCATCTACTTCCCGTGTTACGCTCACGTGAAGGCCTCTTTTGCAAGTGAAGACGGGCAGATCAGCCCTGGCAGCCTGCTGCTCGCGGGGGCCATAGCTGGTGAGTGTCATGCCTGGAATTCTGCTTTGTTCCCATTAGCTGCCCACAAACTCCGCCGTCCTCAGCCTCCAGCTCCGCTGTGTGCTGCAGCACTGGAATATTTTGCTGGTTTTGGTTTTGACAGGGTAAATATGGAATAGGTTACAGATTTTGCTTCAACCAGCTAGTGAAAAGCAAAGGTATGAAGTTAACCTTCATTCAGACACCTTCGCTATCAGACAAACAATTTCTTAACTTGCAAAAAGAGCTTGTTAATTACTGGCTCATTTTGTGGTCTGTGGATCACAATTCATGTCTCATATTTCATAACTTCACTTCATAGCATAACGATGATGATACAACCAGAAGTTTTTGAAAATTGGAGTACTTGTGCTTTAAAGGTGTCTAAACAAAATATAGCTCGCAGGATTGTCAGCTTGGGTATCTTCATGTCATGGCAGCAGGCTTCTCCAGAGCAGGTGGGGAGGGAAGGAGAAAAGGGGAAAGAAAGGCAAGAAGGAGGGTGTAAGTCAAGGAGGAGGGAGGGGGAGAGGCCATAGTCTGGGCTGAGCACCTCTTTTCACGTTATTCTCCATTGCCCCAGCCTCCTCTGTACAATGGAAAAATATGAGACATAATTTGTTGCACTGCTTTTTCTCTTCAAAGAATCAACTAGCTGCAAACTTGAAGGCCTTGTATATTCTTGGTATAATTAAACTGTATGACAAGTAATAAGCAGCATTCTTAGCAGGTATCAGAAGCTAATGACAAATGGCAGGACTACCATTATGGTTAAAAGTCAGAAATAAGAAAGGCAGGATGTTTCCTTCCTGTCACAATCTTCTTCTTCAACCTTGATTTGGAATTTCTAGGCCACGTGGTAAAATATGAAGACAAATCATAAGCATGAATTCCATAAAAGTCACACTGATGCTGCCATTATTTCCAAATAATTGTTTACCTGAAAATCCAAAGTAAACTGCCAAAAATGTATTTGAATTAATATTTCTTATTAGTAATGTGCTTTGTTCTAATGGGAGACAGTTAGCAGACACCCTAGCGGAAGCCAGGAGTCGCTGCTGAGCGTGAGGCCTGGCGGGGGCTGAGCGGCCGGGAGACCTGTGTTCCCTCATGCCAGAGCCCTGCTTCAGTGTGCAGTGAGCACTGAGGTGCTCCACACCATTTCCACTTAGCGAGGACCAGGAGGCCCTTGGGAGAGGGCGTGGGAAGTAGGCAGGAGCCAGCAAGCACAGGGCAGAGCCCTGCTGTGTTAAGGGGACAGACCATCTCAGAAGAGAGAGGCCTCTACAGAAGGAGCCTCAGGCAGTGCCAGTGACTGGGGTGTTCCCTAGTTCACTTGTTATGAAGCCCAAGTGTCCTGTAACTGTTTTTAGGTATGCCGTATTCAGTTTACTTCCTTATACAGAGTACATACATCTTTTGTTGCTACTGTTGAACAGCTCCATTACAAATAAGGTAAGTCTGTGATTAAGCAAATACGATTGTGCTGTCTCTTCATAATAATTTCACATATCTGATAAATACACAAATGAAAGTTTTATTAGTCGAGATAAACTTCTTTAGTAATAGGTAGCTTTGTGACAGAGGTGGATATGGGTAACTCACTACCTAAAGAATATAATTTGTTTATTGTAAGATTTTTGTATCTAGTATTTTTTTAAAACTAGCATTGTCTTTAAATACTGGGAACATCTAATCTACTCTGACATTTCACAGACAGAGCAAGGTTAAGTGATACAAGGCTTTGTGTTTAAGCCCCAGAGTGTTTTAGAAGGGGAGGGCTGAAGCAGGAGACCTAAATTTAGGAAGCCAAATTCTAGTTCTGTGTTATTAGCATGAAACTTTTTAATTAATGAGTACTATTTCAGTATGGTTTGTGCAAGGCAGGTGTAGTGGTGGCGCACACCTGTAATCTCACTCAGCATTGGGAGACTGAAGCAGGAGGGTCACCTTGAGGACAAGGCCAGCCTGGACTACATAATCAGACCCTGTCTCAATAACACCCACCAAAAAACAAACTAAAAAAGCCCGTCAGTATGGTTTTGTGATAATACCAAGTAAAACATCCCTACTGTTTTGTAGGTATCATTGTGTGATCTGTTATACCAGATGATTCTTATTTTTATCAAGGGAGTAAGATACAAGAACAAGTCCAAGAGCTGGCCAGATAGCTCAGCAGACTAAAGCCCCTGCTTAGGCAGAGGGCAGAGGTTGGAGTTTAGTCCCCAGTGTGCCATGCCGGCTCCACCCCCAGGGCTGGCTGCGATGGCAATTGAGGCTGGGTGTGGTGGCGTACACCTGTAACCCCAGCGCTTGGGAGGCTGAAAACAAGAGAATTACTACAAGTCCAGTCTACATGGTGGGGCTCTATAGACCCTGTAAACCCTATACTAAGTACATAAAAGAAGAAAAGAACAAGTCTGACTACAGTGAGTGGTGAAGGTCTTATCTTTGGTTTAATTTACTTAAACTAAATCTGAACAGGATTATCTTTAAAAGCTATTCATTACATATTCATAGATATAGAAGAGCTATATCTATGACTATATCTAACACAATCAGAGTGACTGATTGTGTTGCTTTCGCAAACATTTTATAAGGAGGATAAGTAAAAAATTTTAGGTGAATAACATTCAACAGAGCTTAGTTGAGGAAAGAGCAACATGTGGATCTGGCAGTCCTCAAGGGCAGAATGAGCTAGGACAACTCAGGCTGCTGCATGGTGGAACAGGTAGGGGGATGATGTCAGAAAGCAGGACATGGACTCAGGTAGCTAGCTGTCAGCTTGGCTGCTCCAACTGGCTGAAACCCAGCTGTTTGTTACCGAAGAAAAGGCCTAAGTTAGATTTTCAGTTTGTGTACACACTGGGTTACATTGCCATTCTTCACCAAGGGCCCCATGGAGCCTTCTCAAGTGCAAATAAGCTTTGAGTGAATAAATTGCCTCTTTTGGACTGGCCAAATAGCTCAGTGGATTAAAGCGCCTGCAAGCAGGCACAGGGGCCAGGGGTTCAGTCCCCGAGCCTACCATGCCAGCCCCGCCCCCAGGGCACACTGAGAGGGCAGTTGAAACTGAGAGGCTGTAAACAGGCGGATCACTCCGATCTAGTAGTGAGACCCTGAACACCCAGTAGACCCTTCCCTAAAATACAAAAAAAAAAAAAAAAAAAAAGAAAAGAAGGAAGTTCCCCTTTTGATGAGCCTCTCAGTTGTAAAGGATTGCCCAGGTCTTCGGCACTCACGTTGCTCTCCGTCACCACCGTGAATGGACTGATTTGAT